TCAGATGTATTTAGCTCGACGATACGGATCGACTGATATGTAACATGGCCCTTTCCGGTCAGGTGATGACCTTGACCTGAGGTCAAATTTTCAAAATGACCTTTCAAGGTCAGCGAATAGTTCATTTGACGCGTCTCGACAGTATGAACAGTGGCGGCGGAAGGTATTCTAGGATAGGGGTGCAAACGATATTGAAGCGCCCCTTCCCGCTAGGCGCCCCTTACCATATACACGGTTGTAGTAACACAAACAGTGAAGAGACGTTTGACAATGTGTTGTACCTGTTAACACGTTCAGAATTACAGTTTTTATGTAACGAGAAATAGTTAGGTACATTCCATAGCGTAAATGTAACCTTCATAATGTTCGTTTAGAGACAACCTCATCACCATATCATAAGATTCTCCGAATAAGGCATATCGAAAAGAGTTCCAGGGTTCCAATACCTTCCTGTGGACTAGTGAATAAGGCGCCGAATCCATAACACTAACTCGGTGACAGAGAATTGCAGACCGGTAAGCAGCATGCCGCCTGGGCTGCACTGCACTATTGCATTCAGTGGTGTCATCAGTATTCAGTGGTGCAGTATATCACTGTATCAGTGGTGCATTCAGTGGTGTCATCATCTCCCCAGTAAAAAAAAAACCGCAAAATACGCCCTAGCACTAGGGGTGTAACCGCCCATACGGACGGTGCAATTTTACAGGCCCCAATCTCGGACCTCCCTTAACCCTCGCCGGCACAGGGGGGGGGGGGTTGATGCAACCCCCCCCTAAGGTTTTTCGCGAATAACTCGCGTAAAAAGCGGCCGATCGCGACGAAACTTTCAGTACCCTCGCATTGATCAATTTTACACCTACCCTGAAAATTTCATGACCCTGACCCCAATGACCTTTGACCTGTGACCTCTTTTCTGTGACCATGTTTGGCCGAAATCGCGGTTCGGCGCATGTCGGCTCGCATTAGCCGCGCGTTTGCAAGCTTTTCGTGGTTTCAAACGCTCAAACATGTGATTTGATGTTGCTCCCATGCATTAGGGTGGGTGTCAAGGTCACCTGAAGGTCAGGTCAGGTCATTGACCTTTGGTGACCTCGGGTGACCTCGGTTCACTTTTTCGAGTTTTACATGTTTCTAGGCTAGTTTTTGGAGCTGAATTCGAATTTAGCAACCATTTGGACATTTACGAAGTAGTTTTGGTGCCTTCGTAACATGTCACGAAGCTGTCCGAGGCGGTTGACACGTATTACGAATACCCGTCACAACCCCTACCGGTTGACCTGACCTGACCTGACCCGACCTGGTCTAAATGCTTAAAGACATCATCTATGATCAAAACTAACACGATATTCGTGATCAGCACCCCGGAAAACCACATAGCAGCCACACTTTACGACTTTCTAACAGGTCCCGATTTTCCCGGTTTTCGGGTAATTGACCTGACCTGGAAGGTCACCCGATGACCTAGGACCTTAAAATTGGGTATCATCGGCTTTGTCTTGTGACGGGCAACACGCTCGTTTTTTCTAGCTCGATCAGGGGCCAAACGCGAGGGGGGGGGGGGTGTTTTGTGCCGTCGAAGGACTCAAAATGGCCTGTGCCGGCGAGGGTTAACATTCATATGTTGTAAACGGCAAACCGCCCCCGATAAATGCTACACAAACTAATTTCCTCTCGCATATCGGCCATCAGGCGCCCCTTTTTGTCGCATGGAGCCTGCAACGCTATAAGCCCTCATATGTTCGTGTTGGCGTTCGGAGGCTATCGCCTTCAAAGACGTCTCCATAAATGTTTCTTTTTCGTCCCACACACAGGCGCCCCTCTTTCGCATGCAGGCGCCCCTCTCCCGCATGGCGCGCTTCTCGAGTGGCTGCGCCCTCCTAGCCTTTATCGCCTGGCAAGATTATATTCGACAGGGTCGGCAGCAGCCAGCATCTGCCTTTGTTTCATATACATAAGGATGCCCTCCACTCTTCAGCATATCAAAAGATACTTTTCCCACGTCATTGCCACCCTCTTCGTGTCACAAGTGCCTTTATCAGTTGCGGTGTCGCACTGCTCAGCTTTATGGCTGCCGCACCTCTTAACTTCCTGCCTCCTCTACAGATTTTCGAGGCGCCCCTTTCCATAGCTTTAGGGTGCAGCTGCCCCCCTTGCCCCCCTGCTTCCGCCGCCACTGAGTATGAACAAGGTGCTGGCAGCAGGAATGTCGTGGCTTGCTTGAATCAAAAGTTATCACCGAAAAAACTTTTTGGTGAAAACGGCTATTTTACAGTTTTTGCTCTCTGGATGCTAAACCGTTCACCTGAGGTCAAATATGAGAGCAATGCTCAGAAAGGTCTGTAAAAGGGCTATCGAATGCGCTTTTCCGCGGCGCTGTAGCTCTATTGGTTCCCGAGTTAGCCGTTGGCAGTTTCCAAAGTTGTTGAAATGGCCTACATTTAACCTTTGATGACCTCTGGCGACCTGACCTTTGACCTGACCCAAAAAATGACTGAAGTGTTTCCGTCATAAGTTTTGACGCTCTTTCGAATGCTGCTTACCGCGTGTCGCTACGTGGCTCAGGAGCCGAGTTAGACGGGAGGGGGGTGTTCAGACACCCCCCCCCCGGCCCGGCGCGGAAGTCGCGGAGCACCGGCCCGGCGCGGGATAAAATGAAACATGATATTGGCACCACTAATTTCTCTGTGCCATCCTGCATGGCATATTGCCTGTATCAGTCTCAGTGTCTTCGTTCTTTCTCTATAAAAATCACCTTCATACGTGCCGTGATGCTGGACCAGCCAGTCCAGAAATCAGAATCGAGCTCGACCAAACATCGCCTACCTTTGGCCCGTTCTTGTCTCCGCATTCCAAAGAGCCGAGTTAAGATGGAGATGGGCGTTCTTACGAAGGTGGAGCTGAATAGCTCAGCAAAGGCTGACCGTATGTTCCTTCCTGAAAACCTTACCGGCTTCGCGTTTGTAGTTAAATTTATTGTTCTACTTTTATTTAAATATTCATTCGTCCCATGTGGCTGGGATCTAATACCGAAATCGTAAGTAGAGTATTATACATGCAGGCTTCTACCCTGCAGACTGCGGAACTGGTTCGGCCGCGCTCAGGCCGCCGTGGTCCCGGGCGCACCAGACGGCCGAGCTGTGCCCCGCCCCGCGCGCTACCTCCGCCGGTCGCCGGTAGGGGGCGGCGCCGTCCAGTGACCCGGCCATGACCTCTGACGGCCGGCGGCGGACGGCCGTGACTTGGCCGTGACCCCGGGCAGTCGGGCGGGGTCGCTGACCGCGCCAGGTCGTCTCGGACAGCGGGTGAGTGTGCTGGGCCTGACGGGTGTTCAGGGTTCCAGAATCCTCTAAGAGCGCGGAGTGTTGGCGCTGCGACTGTTTGAGTTTAAATTAAGTTATGTCGGTTTGATAGCAGATAGATACATCTGTCCTTCCGTGGTCGTGCCGTTCCAAATCTTCAGTAATATCATTTTTAGAGACGGGTTTGCCGTACAATTCTTACACTCGACTGTGGTATCTTCCATAATGAGCTTGACTGGGGAAGAGTAGGGAGGGTTGTGCTGGGATGTAATACCGAAATCGTAAGTAGAGGACTTCTAAGTAGAGCAATGTGCTCTTCTAATTTTTATGTATGTTCATACCTATCTCCCAAAACTACCGGTAGAATTATGAATATGTAAATATTCAGAGCAGGCTAGATGCCAGTCATTTCTTTTCATATACCGCTGTTGTATTGGAACACAAATGCTTTTTTCTGATAGGGCGTTGCTAATGTTTTCAGAATTCGATCCATTGGAGAAGCATCCTTCTTTTCAATGTTACGTCGTCATGACCTAGACGACCTCAGGCAAACGAAATTTAAAGATCTGAATGCATATTTGATATCACAACACTATATGACGCCTACTGGCTGATCTCACCTGACCTGGCCTACCCTAAATGCATGAATAATTTTTTTAAAGGTAGTGTGCCAGCTTTCTTGGACCGTATGGAGTTAATGGCCCAGATAAGGAGAACCGGATTTTTAGAACTTATCCATACCTTCAAAACTCATGGAAACGTCTTAAATTCTTCAAATTTTGAGTACCCCAGTGCGAAATTCACCCCGACGGGTTGTCGGTCGTACCCCAACCACATTTCACACCACTATGAACAATAAATGCACACACTGAAATCGCTATTACCGATAGGCTCATCCAATCAAGTTTCGATAAACCCGTTCATCATCATTAGAGATTGCAATCCCGGAACGTTTTGCCAATCCCGGGATCCCGAAAGTTTTTATTTCGGGATCCCGGGATCCCGGGATCCCGGTCTTGTCACTAAATGTCGTAAGAATAATTTCCTACTGACATATTTTGCGTCTTTTAGCTTACCACAAACAAAGAGGCAACCAAAAGCCATCCTTAGACCATGTCATTTGCAATAAACACGATTGAATTTGCGAAAGAAACGTTTCGATTTGATTATAGGTAGTAGGTACCCCAATTGGCCTTAATAAAACTGTGCGCCGACCAGTGCGTTTACTATCTCGTCATTCAGACGGGTTCCAGCACATCCACGCCTCACTCACTCTTCGTCTACGCTACTCGTAGTTAGCGCGACAGTTTTAAGCCATTGCTGGTAGGTTTGGCTATTTTAAAACTCGCGACCAGTGTACGCCAAATTTGGCAGCTCCCTAATTCACAATGTTTTCAAGACGTCGCTTGGTCACGTCACCTTCCGGTTCCGCTTTCATCACTAATGTCTCTCAGACTTTGCTCCAAAGTCGCTTTGAGGGCAGAGTCACTGACTGGGAGAGCTCCACTCTACCGTCTTCAACGTTTGAATCAGTGAGCTCTGCCGTCACTTGCGTGACATCTGTGACATATTTCTGCGACACGAGCTCAAACACTGTCTTGATGATCTTTTTTTGTTCCAGCCACGGACAGACAAGTCAGAATCGCTGAACGATCCGTGATCCTGATAGAGATGTTGCTGCACTGATGCTGCAATTTTTTTTTGCGTTCGGGACCCTTTTTGGTACACATTTAAGCGGCTTATCCGCTGTGGGTGATACCCGGGAGATACCAACACGGTCAATTGTGGACGGCCGATACGGGGTGCCAGCTAAATAGTTTCTCTCCTTTATGTCACGCAGCACCATGAACAAGTGTAAACAAGACTCGTGCAGCGGCTGCATTCTTTTTATGGTGAAAAACTGATTTTTTTCGGGATCCCGGGATTGACGAAATTTCGGGATCGGAATCGGGATTAAAATCCCGCCGGGATCCCGGGATCCCGATCCCGGGATTGCAATCTCTAATCATCATCTCCTGCGGTTTCGAACACGCCTGTTAGGTGGCTTCTGATGCTCGTCGAGGTCGGAATTTCCAAATACGCGTGGTGCGTCGGGCCGCGCGCTCTGACTTCGGCCAAGAAAAATGCGTCAGCTGATCATTGTCATTTCTGCCACTTGCGTGTGGTGAAATGGGGTCATAACTTATAAGACGGCTTTTTCATATCAATTATTTTACATAAAATCATATTTCAAACCATAAATAATGTTCGACAGCCAAATAAAAGAAACAATACAATACGGGCTTACAGTTTAAGGCTCGACATTGTGTTGTCTACGATTAGACAGCTGATAACTCATTCCCGTACGTCGTATGGTCGTAACACTATAATGACCTTTGCTTATTGTCACAAGTGCGCCGCATTCGCGATTGTTGCCCGACGCCTGTTTGCAGGTGAGCCCACTACAGTTGTTATACATATCTAAAAACCGAAAAACTTTTAGGCGAAAAAGGCACTATTCCAGGCCCATTTTTGATTTTTTTTGCGATATTAGGTAAAAACAAAAGCTTCTTATCCTAGGAAAAATAAAATGGGAAATCTTTCAAAGGTGGCACACTACCTTTAAACAAAAACTAATGCAAAATTAAAAAAAGGTATTCAACCTCGTTTCGAGAAGTTCAAGGTTGATGATTTTTTCTGACTTCCCGACTTTTAACCTAACCTGAACCTGGAAGGTCAATCAATGACCGATGACATTGCAATTGGGAATCATCGGCTTAGTCTCATCATGGGCAACACACTAGTCTTTCCGCGAAGTGCTAGTCTATCTCGATCAGGGACAGAACGGCTCGTGGAGGGGTCCAACGGACTCCCATTCTCCCTTCGTTAGCGGATGGTAAAAGGCCAATACGGACGAGGATCTCAGGATGAAATCTACATATCTGCCTGTCGCGTAGCTCAGTTGGTAGAGCGCTGGACTCCCGGACCGGTAGTGAGAGCCCGGGTTCGAGGCGTTACGGCGCTCGATATTTGAGACTCCTGACGGGGATGGTCTGCGGTTGGTGGGAGCAGCCGCAGCCACTTGAAGTCACTTGAGTGGGGCAGGCCGTGTCGGGCTTTGAGGGGCACGTTAAACTTTGGCATCTAAGTTCTCCCGATACCCGGAATTGCGCGATCGGACGGTAGGGGTCGGGGTCTACACAACAAGCTCTGCCAAGCTCTGCTTAGCGTGGGCTCCGGCTCTGTCAATCCGTCCATTCAAACATTCGAGCTAAATTTATAAAAAAAAAATCTAAATCCTGTCGCATGGCACGCTGCTAGTGCTACCAGCGCTTTCGGTTTCTTTGGAAACGCCAACAAACTAGGGAGCTCACAGTGAAGCTCGCTGACGAAAGCGAAAGCGCATTGGCGTGGAAACCGAAAACGTTAGTCTCGCTGGCAGCGTGCCGTGAAGCAGGGACCTGCCGCTGGTCACTCGGACAGTAGGCTAATTGGACTTTGAATTTTCATATGTTCAACGTATGCCCCATAGAGCATGCCAATTTTGAAGGTACCAAGTGTCACCTTTTTACTCTATCTGCGGAAGACGCAATTATTCCGTTTCACCCAGTCTGTATGCCAGTTATCGTGACAGTGATCTCACTGGGCGAAGATCAGGGCTTGCAATTTTATGATGTGTCAAAGGGATGTCCCTTAAAGGTGCCCAGTGGCGCGGGAACCGGGGGGGGGGGGGACTAGCGGGGGCTGAGCCCCCTCAGCTTTTCGGCTGGGGGGGGGGGGCTCGTAATGTATTTGAGCCCCCAGCTGGAGGAATCGAAATCGGAAATCTACCAACATAAATTCATAGATTCATACATAGGCGCGGGAACCGGGGGAGGGGGCAGTGGGGGAAGCTTGCCCCCACAACTCTGCGGCCGTGGGGGCGGTGCCCCACAACTCTTCATGAGGCCACGAACCGTTGGGCAGCTTGTCCTCCCCAAATTAGGGGTTGTGGGTCACAAAGGAAGAAAGCATGTTAGTGAAAAATCCACCTCTTTCACTGGCTCGGCAACTCAGTTGGCAGATTAAAACCTTTAGGTACTCCAGGTTGCCAAAACGGTAGTTTCTTCATTCAGCTGAGACGGAATATCTCACTTTTTTGCATTTTTTTCGTTTTTTTGTTGTTGAAAAGGCCAGTCTGAAAAATAAGTGGCTTAAAACCGGTGAGAAAACTAGATTTGGGGGTACCTCAGGTTGATCTCTATTATGGTTCAGTCCCCCCCCCCCCCCAGTCTGGAAGAAGCTCCCGCGCCCCTGGAGGTGCCAAATTTTGTGGCGCTACTTATCGCCGTTTCTATGAAAAACTTAGGGGAGGGGGTGCACCATCCCACTGGGTTAGCAAGGATTAAATCTTACGAGTCAATGCAAAGTGTGACAACAAAATTTATTTGAGGGAACAGTTTTCGGTAGGTCCTAAACTCTATTTTTAGTGGCAGTTTTTAATGTTTTTCGTAACTATCGCAAAAACCCTTCCCGCCAGACGTTTCAGCTGCGGGAACATTCCTGCCAATCTCGCATGCTCTGATAACGGGCGTTGTGTCTTGAACATCGCCGGCTCTTATAAGGCCCACTTTTGGGGATTTTTTCTTTGATATCCCACGCCATTGCGAACATGTTGACTTTTGGTCGGGCTGAGTGACTGAGGCTGAGTGGCTTTTGGTCGTTTCCTTCTTTGGAATAATATTGTGGGTTTCCAACAACATGAGCTAATTATCCAAAGATGCATAAGTTAGTTACAGGTAAAACAAAAAATGTCGCATAGGCAATCTCAGACATCTAAAAGTAAAAATAGGCGTTTTGGGAGAAACGCCTATTTTTACTTACCTATTTACTTGCGCTTACCTATATGACTGACCAATGCAAAGCAAAGCAAATGGTGCGCTAGTGGTCAGCATTGCTTTTTAGCTGCCATAAGTTTTACGCTTAACCCGGCAGTTGCTGGGGTATTTCGCCACCCACCGTTTGCTGGGGGGGGGGGCGTTAAACGCCCCCAGCCGATAACTCGAGAACCAATAGTCGCAGCGAAACGCACGAGGCGGCAAACGAAAGAACGCGACGAGACGCTTCAGATGAGTACTTTAAAGTTAAATTTTGAGGTCACAGGTCGGGTCAAGGTCAGGTCAAACACCTGAAATCGGGCTTTCAGTAGCATGGACTTCTGGACTTCGCAATGGGCGCCTCTCGTCATAAACTCTGTCAAAACGGTGCACACTCCATCATATAAGGCCTACAAGAGTGTCAGCTCTATGTAGAGGTCAGTCAAGCATAGGTCAGGGTCAAGGTCAGGTCAACCGGGTAGGCACATATCCCCGAAAATCAAAACTGATATTTGCAGCCTGTGACACATGTTCTATGGGTAATTTGGGGGGTAGAACACGATGGTGACATTCATTTTATGATACATATGTGTACGTGTTTGGCTCAAAAAGTTCAATTTAAGAAATGCATGTATCATGGTCGTGAAGTAGTCACGAGAAATTGCCAAGATTCAGTTCAAGATTTTGTAAAATGCGGAACTGTAATCAATAATCGAAGATAGCCATTTCATTGCTCATGGTATTGGCAGTCTAATGGCGTTTACGGCATGTCTGTATGTCTATTTTGTGATTTTATATGATTTTTTGAACATATGCCGTTTTTGGTCGAAAACTCAGAAATCATGACGTCACTAAAACCTCGATATCTCAAAAATTTTCGACCGATTTTTTTGAAACTTTGTCACAATAAACTTCAATCAATTCCCTACATGTACCCAAAATTTGGCGCGCCTGCGGCGCGCCGTTTTTATGCTATGGCCCGGCGAAAAAAGTGGGGGCGTTTAATGCCCCCCCCCCCAGCAACTCGCGGGCTAAAGTTCCAGTAAGAAAACTAAAGCAAAAAGTTTCGTAAAGTTCCTCAATAGATAAAGGTTCCAGGATAAAAAAGCTTCATGTCACTCATAGCCTAGTTTAAGTTCTTGATAGCTGCCAGGGGAGGGGCAGTGGCCCCGAACTTTCGCATGTCAGTCAATTGAAGGCTATCGCCCTCTATCGAGCGGGATTGGTGCCAAGTGCTATGTGAAGCTCTTTCGCGGTTTTCCTTTTTGCGATTGCTCTGAACTCGTTAGTCTATAGAGATCAGGGCTGCGGAGTCTATGTAATTCAGGTCGACTCCGACTCCGACTTTAAAAACCGACTCCGACTCCGACTTACTGCGGACGGTTCTATTAAAATCCATATCATGACATTCATGAAGTTAATAATGAATATGCTCTTATCTTGCCTGAAACGATCCTTTGTGCGTTCCAAGGCTTTGTGTTGCAAATATGCATTATAAATAACATGCAGAATTAAAAACCATGTTCGGGGAATTCACCGTCCTTTACTTCTTTCGCTGAAAACGTTCGACAAAAACAGCAAAATAGCCTTTCTTCGACAAAATGTAATTTCAAGCGCAGTATCGTCAATCAAACAGGTGCAGTGCATGACGTTAAGCCAGCGTTAACTCCGACCCCGGGTTCGGAGTCTAAGCTTTTGGCGACTCCGACTCCGGGCAGAACTGTCGACTCCGACCGACTCCAACTCCGACTCAGACTCCGATCCCGCAACCCTGCTAGAGATAAACTGCTGACATTTGCCGTGACAAACTTTTGAATAATGCCAGATCTCTCGATACAGCTGCCTTTTCAGGTCCGGTCAGGCCACTGGCCTTTGACATCATGTATGAGACTTTGGGGGTCTCGAGACTTTGGGGGGGGGGGGTGAAAATGTCTTGATTTGCTAAGTTCCAGATATTTTTTGCCATTTCAGTCGGGGGAGGTTTGGTCAATCGTTGTCATTTTTAGCACGTGCTATTTTTGTCACACGTGCTAAAAATGACAACGATTCTGCTATTTTTGACAACGATGAGGCCGATTTCACTCCTCAGCGAGGAAATGAAGATTTTGGAAAGATAAACACTGATTTTGGAAAAGAAGTGCTGCCACCTGGTGCAAGACGAAGAATCCAGCTTTAACCCTCGCCGGCCGAGGGGGGGGGGGGGGCGGGTGCCGCCCCCCCCCCCATAGGGTTTTTTCGCGATAGCTCCGAACAGGCTGGCGATAGAGAGCTGAAACTTGGCATACCTGACCTTTGATCCAAGCCGGATCTTTTGACACCAACCGCATTTTTGGGTCAGGTCAGGTCACTGACCTATGACGTCATAAGTGAACCTCTGCACGGTCTTCAGATGTCGCAACTTCGCAACGCCCTCACTGCCAGAGGAGATGTCACAGGGAAATGAAACTTGCAGGATCTAGTATCCATTATGAGTCTCACAACTTGTATATCTCGGATTTTTCCTAAAGGTCATATGAGGTCAGGTCATTTTCGTGACCTCACCATTATAAGTCAATGGGGAAAAATTCAAACAGCTATTCTGGCGCCGGGAACGATCTCCAACTATCTCAAGCACACAGAATCGTGATTTGATGCACTCCTTGCAAGGTTAGATGCGTCACTTTTGCAATGTTGACCTTGCGTGACGTCATTTATGACGTCATCAAGGTCATATTAGTTTTTCGTCAATAACTCTTGATCAAATTGAGCTAGCGAGTCGGGAAAGCCACCAATGGACTCAGGAAGACCTGCCGAATCGAATGATATGCGACATGACCTCTTTCGACCAGCTTCGTGACCTGGAGGTGCTGACCTGACCTTGACCTGAGGTCAACACCCCAAGTTGACCTGACCCGGACAAAAAGTATATCATTCGACGCGCCTGAGCGAGACGAACACGATGCTGCCAAAATCGGCGCTCTGCGGCCGTTTTTTGCGAAGTTATTCACCAAAAACTGAGCCGTACCTTTGGGCACTTGACCTGACCTCAGAGGTCACCGGTTGACCTAGGACCTTAAAATCGGGTACCAATCTCTGCGTCTCGTAACGGCGCACACGCTCGTTTTTTCCGCGACGCGCTAGCTCCACCAGGGGCGAAACGGCGAGGGGGGGGGGTCGTACCCGCCCCCCCCCCCCCTCGGCCGGCGCGTATGTAGAAAACCAATAGGTCCGGCGAGGGTTAATATGCCTGTTATTTGTATGGTAGTTTGTTTTGTGGCCTGAAGTTGGAACTTAAAATTGAAGCATCCGAAAATGATCGATATTGATCGAAAACATGATGTTGATGAAAAAAATAATATTTTAAGTTGAGAGAGGAGGCCATTTTATCCAGATGCAGTAGTTTACTTCTTGAAATTATTTTTGCTAATGACGGCTGCTAATTATCCCTCATTACATGGCAGTCGTCGTAAGCAAAAATAATTTCAAGAAGTAAACCACCGCATCTGGATAAAATGGCCTCCTCTCTCAACTTAACATATTATTTTTTTCATCAACATCATGATTTCGATCAATATCGATCATTTTCGGATGCTTCAATTTAAAGTTCCAACTTCGGGCCACAAAAAAGGGTATACTTCAACGTTGGACTACCATACAAACAACGGCCATATTAAAGCTGGTTTCTTCTTCTTGCACCAGGTGGCAGCACTTCTTTTCCAAAATCAGTGCTTGTATTTCCAAAATCGTGATTTCCTCGCTGAGGAGTGAAATCGGCTTCATCGTTGCTAAAAATAGCTGATAGCGTTGTCATTTTTAGCACATGGTTGCCAAAAATGGCATGTGCTAAAAATGACAACCATTGACCAAACCTCCCCCAACTGATTTCTTGGGCATACGCAGGGGGTAAAAGTTGACCCGTCATGGCGCGGGATAATGTCACCGTCGTGTTCCCGCAGATGTGTGGTCCGCCGGGCCGCGATGTGCTGCTGTTCGCGCTGTGACCGTCGTGTACCCGCAGGTCCGCCGGAGCCGCGATATGCTGCTGTCGGCGCTGCTGCTGGGCCTGCTGGGCGTCCTGCTGGCCACGGAGCCGACCGGACCGGCCACTGCCGCCGGCGGCCACCAGCAGGCCACTGCCGAGTTCGCCCAGACGGTGACCCTGGTTGTCAGCGACCTACCCCGGGCGTCCCGGGCCGAGGTCACCGGAGGGGCCGCGGCGCTGCAGGCGGGCGCCTTCGGCACAGCCGTGGACCCCCAGGAGCCCCAGTCCCGAATCATACCCGTGTTCTCGTCGTTCGGTGATGTGCTGAGAGGCGGCGCTGGCCGGCCGAGGCCCGTTCCCAGCGCTCCGACCCTGATCGGGTCCACCCCGCCGCCGGCGCCGGCCGCGGCCAGCGCTGTCTCGTCGCTGCAGCCCAGTCTGACGAGCCAGCCCCAGTCGTCCGCGGCCACCGCGACTCCCGGCGTGCTCTCTGTCCTGCCACCGAACCTGCTGTCGGCGCTGGCGGCTGCTGCGCCGTCCAGGCCGCCGTCCAGGCCGCCGTCGGTCACCTCTGCGCAGCCCAGGCCCAGCGCCGTGCTGCCGTCCACAGAGGACACACAGACAGCCACCGGCACCGGGGGCCTCTTCTCCGGCGGACTGATCAACCTGAAACCCTTCACCGAACCAAACGAAGTAGTAGGTGGAACGCGCAACGTATTAACAAGTTTCTTGGACAAAGTGAAGGAACTCAAGAAAAACATGAAAATAAAGCTGAATAAATTCAAGCCTAGCAAGCCAACAGGGCCACCCCCTACCACTGAGCCCCCACCGCCGCCGCCACCACCTATAACTCAGCCTCCGCCCCCACCCCCGCCCGTAACTGAGCCGCCACCGCCCGTAACTGAGCCTCCCCCGCCCGTTACCTATCCCCCGCCCCCGCCCGTCACAGAGCCCCCTCCCCCGCCCGTAACTGAGCCGCCCCCGCCCGTAACTGAGCCTCCACCATCCCCGCCCCTAACCTATCCTCCGCCCCCGCCCGTCACAGAGCCCCCTCCTCCGCCCCTAACTGAGCCGCCCCAGCCCGTTACGGAACCGCCCCCGCCCCCGCCCGTTACCTATCCTCCGCCCCCGCCCGTCACTGAGCCTCCTCCGCCGCCCGTCACCTACCCTCCGCCCCCGCCCGTCACTGAGCCCCCTCCCCCGCCCGTTACCGAACCTCCCCCGCCCCCGCCCGTCACCTATCCTCCGCCCCCGCCCCCGCCCGTTACCGAACCTCCCCCGCCCGTAACCTATCCCCCGCCCCCGCCCGTCACTGAGCCCCCGCCCCCACCGCCCCCGCCCGTCACAGAGCCCCCTCCGCCGCCCGTCACTGAGCCCCCACCTCCCCCGCCGCCTCCCGTCACCTATCCCCCGCCGCCGCCGCCCCCTCCAGTCACTGAGCCCCCACCTCCCCCTCCGCCTCCCGTCACTGAGCCCCCGCCTCCACCGCCGCCGCCCGTCACCTATCCCCCGCCGCCGCCGCCGCCGCCGCCCGTCACTGAGCGCCCACCCCCGCCGCCGGACCACCGGTGTGCGGCCGTGCTGGTGACGGTGACGTCCACGCGCTTCTCGGCGGCCACGTTCACCGAGCAGCTGCAGTCGCTGCACCGGCCCGAGAGCACCCTGTACGTCACCGAGAGCCGGCTGACTCTCTCCCCGACCACGGTCCGGCACACGGCCACCCGCCACCGGCTGGGCACGCTCTACCGCGCCCTGGAGGTGTGCTCCGTCACGGCGCACTCTGTGCGCGCGCACACACTGCTGCAGAGCCGCTACCGCACGGTGACGGAGCACCTGTCCGTCACCGACACGGTGCACAACTCAGTGACGGAGACGGTGACGCTGGCGCGGCCCACCACCGTCACCGTGCTGCGGACGGTGCAGCGCGCCGCGCCCGCGGCCGCGGTCACCAGCTACACCACCGTGACGCGGCGCACCACGCTGACGCGCACCGAGGCCAGCACCAGCACGGCGCGCGCCACCAGCACGGCCGTGGCCACGGCGCGGCGTACCGAGCGCGTCACGGTCACGGTGGACGTGACCAGCACGGCGCCGGCGGCCACCACCACCAGGACGCTCATCTACTGTCCGGACGGGCCGGGCGGCGGGGACCGCTACTGAACTCGGACCGGCCCGGCGCCGAGCCCCGGTACTGAACTCGGCACCGGCCCGCTACTGAACACGGCACCGAGTCCCGCCACTGAACTCGGACCGGCGGCGGCCGCAGGCCAGGACGGACTGCCGCACGCGACCGACCCGCTGGCACCGGCGACCGACGTCCGGGCCGGACTGTGGGGAAGGCGGAAGGTGCTTTGTCGTCAATACATGATAATTTATATTCATCGCTTATTTCACATCCTATGACATAGCGCGGGCTGCGGCGGTCAAAGCATTAGGTAGCTGAATTGGAAAATCCTCGGCTTCTTTTCTTAGAAAGAGGACGTTGTAGTTTCTGGTTTAGTTTTGTTTGATGCTGATGATTTTTCGTTTATTTTTATTTTGTTCTTGCATGTGTATCCGTTAGCGTTCTCTATATCTCGCCTGCTGCTTGCAGGCTACAACAAACCAGTTCTGCTGAGGAAGTTAGCGACGCCATAGATCGGGACGATTTTGATCGTGCAATTGGTTTTTATCGTGTCATTTTAATCGTAAGTCATCCAGTTTCTTCAATGCCACTGCTGCTGAAGGGGTAATTCTCAGAGGTGATATTCTGCGAACGACATTTGCTGAGAACCGAGTAGCGACAGTTGTCTCAGAATTAACCAATCGCCCATAGTCCTACGTTCGATGTGATTAACACTTCAAATAGTCTAGTTATGCGCTATCTCAGTGTAAGCGGGTCGTCCGCCGGTCTCCCGACATCGGTCTCTCTTGTTTGACCGATTTAACTGCGTGCTAAAACTGACATCTGTCAGACTGAAATGGATCTGCTATCCTCTTCAGCAGCTTCTAAGTTCCGATGCTACTTCACTGTACCATTGTGAAGTAGCACTTCATTTCACTGGAGCGCAACGGTAGTTCAGCATTACGCCGGGAAATCGGTGGTTATCAAATTAGGCGGGATTACTTGCAAAGACTTATTGCCACGTCAACGATTAACCCCGTCGAATGCCCGTAGTCTGCTCATATCAGCGCAGCACTTGTCAGAGACATTCTGGTGTCGAGAAGTCGACCGACGTTGTGGAAACTGTCCGTGCAGTGAGGCAGCCATCTTCCAGACACTTCACACGTCTCAGACACCAGCGGCGCTGAATTTTTTTTTTCTGTCGCATGCTTAAAATTGTATGAGCTATCCCACGCATTAATGAGGGGCAAGCACCCATTATTGTATTTTCACATCAGTGTTAACTGCACGGCTCGCTAATAGACGTAACGGTGTTTTAGGAACTGTGATTGTTTTTGTTCCACTGCGCGGCAGAAATCGGCTGCATGGAGAGGGGCACTGGCAGCGGACGCCGTCTGGGACCTCCGGGCTGTTCCGCCAGCCGCCACTCTCGCGCCAGTCAATATGGATGAGGCTTTTACACATCAGCGCTCTCATCAGCTCCCGCGTCAAAGAGCGGAGGAAGTTGAGGCGGCTCTAACGCTCCAACCAGCGAGTTTCTGGATCTCTGTCCGGATGATATATGTAGCGATTTAGGCGGTTTCCACCAGGGTTGAACAAGTTTGAATTTCAGTCGACTGAGGGATTCGGAAGAAACGGTACCTCATCGAACCATATTAGGTAATAATATCAATACATCATTGTGAAATTTAGGTATACGTAGCTGCAAAATGCATTTGAGTAGGGGAGAGTGGGGTAAGATGCCCAGGGTTTTACATTCTCATAGATTATTCGAAAATGACGATCGGAAAGCAAAAACCTGGAGTTTCAACGGAAGCCGACATCATTTTTCTCCAAAAAATAACACACTTTCGTGCCTGAAATATGATAGCTTTTATGCTATTAAGCATTTTCCTGAAGAAGTGAAAGGGGGCATCTTACCCCACAGGGTGGGAAAGACGCCCCCTGGCGTTGGGAAAGATGCCCCCTGCACTATAAGTGACATAAATGGGCACGTGAATCGCCTGAACGAATCAGTAGTCCCTTCGAGCCTGCAATAGACACTAAATGTCATCGTAAGGGCCCTCAAAAGTAGTCGTAAGGGGCTTCAGAGGTCATCGTCAGGGCCATCATAGTTCAGCGCGGCCAAACATGAAACAAGCCTCCATGGTGGCGTTCCGAGACCATAGGTCTTCTTCATGATGCTTGAGGGCTCTCGAGCCCATCGTGGGGACCTCAGATGCCAGCGAGGCCCGTGGAGCCAACGTGGGAGCCCTCAAAGGATGTCGTGAGGGGCCTTGGAGCCAATAATGGGGCCCACAGAGGCCGTCGTGAGGGCTCTCAGAGTCAGATGCCGCCCAAAAAGTCGCTGTGTGGGCCGAGAGACCGGCATGGGGAGCACCCGATCGTACTGGACTCTTAATAGTCCCAGATCGGCTTTTGTCTCTCTTAACAAATATGTAATAAATGATTTGACGCCGACGGGTTCCTTGAAGGCCAGCCTACGGATTTAGGGGGGGGGCGTCTTTCCCCATCAGGGTAGGGGGCATCTTACCCCAAGGTACCGAAATAACATTATATCAGTACAATTTGTTAGCCATAAAACTACACCCTGAAACAAACTGTTTGGGACACAGTACATGTATGTTAATGTATCACAACCATAGCAAGGGACATAAACATTACTTACCTTCTTTGATATTTACAATGACACCAAAATATTTTTTGAAAGAAGCAAATAAAAAACATGCAATCATCACTCAGCCGTTGCCCAACTGAGCTTCGCAAGTTTTTGTGCAGTTAACAAGGCAGTCTTCCACTTTACGCTAAGAACATTAATTTCCAGGTTCGATTCTTTGTTTCGTCGCTAGAGGGGGTGGGGCGTCTTTCCCACCCTGGGCATCTTACCCCACTCTCCCCTACACAATAGCCCGTACCGTGTTGGAGGGAGTGACCTTTGAACACCCCTAGGTATACGGTTTTCCGAGAATACCTATCTAGAAAATGGCGGCGCTACGCAACTTCGATGGCTCACACTGTGATGCATCGAACATTATTTTTGGAGTGTCTGCGTTTTTTGTTCGAGACGTCTCGTCGAGAGAAACACGCTGCTGATTAATTCAATGTCACAAAGCCTTGTGTCAAAAGTCATGGTAGGTAATGTATTCCACGAAGTCAACTCGGCAGATTTTTTCGCTCTGGATGTGTAACCTTAGGTCGCATCTGATGGCACACTAGAGAAAGACTTTTGAAAGATCTATCGAATCAAATTTTTGCGAGATCTTTTCAATATAACGGGAAAATCTCAGTATGAGCGGCCCGGCCCGGCACGGCCCGGCCTGTAACGCTTTTGAAAGTCTTAACCCGCGCCGGGCCGGGGGGGGTGTTTGAACACCCCCCCCCCTGCGGTTTTTGGCACACCTGTTCGTGCATCTTCTCCGCACATATTGTGAAAATTTCAGACCCAGGTCACCTTAGGTCAGGTCACCAGGCCACGCCAAGTGACCTCACCTAAAAAAATAAGAATGCTCGTCATAGCTACACTGATTGATCGATTGCCTTGAAACTTTCAGCGATTGAGTAGAGCAACATTATCTATAAAATGTTTATCTCGGAATTTTGATATCGGTGACCTAAGGTCAGGTCAATTTTGCGACCTCTCCATTATAAGTCAATGGGAGAGAATTGAAAAGCGTCTGTTTTGCACGAACGCTATTCTAGACACTCTCAAACATCGAGATGTAGGTAAAATGGACACACTGAACCGGAAAATGGCAACTGTGACCCCTCGTTATGTCCCCGAGGTCATCTCAGGTCACGAACAGAATCTAACAGTTTTTCGCTAATAACTTCTGACAGAGACGTGCTAGAGCGCTGAAAACGCCTTAGATGTGTTCGACTCGACGTTGCGGATCGACTGATATGCAACATGACCTTTTCCGGTCAGGTCATGAACTTGACCTGAGGTCAAATTTTCAATTATAGTTCATTCGATGCGTCTCGACGAGAGGAACACGATGGTGGTAAAAGTAATGTCATGGCTCTTTTGAGTCAAAAGTTATTGCCGAAAAAACGTATTTCGTAAAAACAGCTATTTTTGGAGTTTTTGCCCTCTGGAGGCTAAACCGTTGACCTGAGGTCAAATCTGAGAACATAACTCAGAAAGGTCTGTAAAAGGGCTATCGAATGCGCTTTTCTGCGGCGCTGTAGCTCTATCCGTTCCCGAGATAGCCGTTGGCAGTTTCCAAAATGTTGAAATAGTGAACATTTGACCTTTGGTGACCTCTGGTGACCTGACCTTTGACCTGACCCAAAAAATGACTGAAGTGTTTTCGTCCTTATTTTGGACGTTCTTTCGATTGCCGCTTACCGCGTGTCGCTACGTGGCCCAGGAGCCGAGTTAGAAGGGGGGGGGGGTGTTCAGACACCCCCCCCCCCGGCCCGGCGCGGAATATCAGAGCACCGGCCCGGCGCGGGTTAACATATCTCAGCAACGGTTGGGCCGATATGCCTTAAGTCTTTTTCGTTGGGTAGCCCCATCCCTTCTACCCCGTAATTGACTAATTTTGATGCATCTCAGTGACCGTCGTCGCACGTGCCACGTGAAAAGACAAGGGTGTTCAAGCTGTTTTGCAAAAGTAGCGGTTTTGAGAGGCTCATATTTTAGCAACCGCTAGGGCAGTTGACTTGCGGTAATTTTTGTAGGGTAGGCAGCTGCATTCCTTCTACCAAGCATCGGATACCTACTCCTGATCCACGTGAGTGACCCCGATGCGCGTGCAACATGCAAAAAGAAGCGGTGTCAAGTATGTTCCCATCACAAAAACGCAATGGTTGGGGCGATTGCGCTGAAACTTTGCATGCATGCGGGTATCCGCTGACCAATGAGCATCCATATGTCATGGTTGGGGTGCAGCCGCACCTGCGCACGTGCAGGAGTCGTTTCCAGATCTCGAGAACAGAACGGCTCGGCCAATGCGGTCAAATTGGTACACGGTTGGGGAACGGCGAGTAGAGTGCCGTGCAAACGTTAGTTTGGACTCAGTTTGCAAGTGCGCACGTGCAGGGTGCGCTTCCAGGTCCAGAAAACGGCTGGGCCGATTACATCCAAATTTGGCGCACTGGTAGTGCCCAGTTAATAGGGTGCAGTGCACAAGCCAGTTGGAGGCACCCTCTCGCCCTTCGCCACGAGCAGGGCTCACTCTCTCGCTCGCTCGTTCCTCGCCCGAAAGGCGTTTTACTGGTATAGTTCGTTTTTTTTTTAGTTCGACCCTCACTGTAAACGTCTTTTTGGAAACA